GTTTCTTGAATGAATCTCAAAAAATTGATCAGACTGCACCCAGGTTATCAAACTTTTCTGTTTCCCAACTGTACAACACACATTATACATGAACAATAATACCAGCAACCCTGACATGCCAGAGAATTGGTGCCTTGAATGGCCAGTCCACCAAGTCTCCTTTAGGGATTACGTAAAGCCCCCTTTTGTTCAAAATCAGATTGCTGAACAAGGGAAGGATATTGAGTTAACACACATGTAAAAACTCGTTCTGACTGGCTGAGCACACAATTCTGTCTGGGCTTGGACAAAAGCCTAAAAGTGGATACTGGACATTCCAAATGGATTTATCCTCGGCCCAGAGAAACAAATGCCATTATTGGTGGACTTGTAATGTGTTCCATTTTGAAATTCAGTATTCATACAACCATTACCAATTCAAGTTTGTGAACGTAAATATTTTGCGTGTTCCCTAAACTTGTACAGTGTGTAATCGTACGTTGTATACTTGCTTTATTTTCATTGGAATTTAATCAAATTCACTGACAACTCTTTTAAATTTTTTTTGTGTTGGATACTTATGACGACAACAATTTTCAATACATATTTTATACCATATTGCCTTTGAAATTTAATAAAATTCCCCGTAAATTCCCTGACAATTTTTTTTCTTTCTTTCTTTCCCTGTTGTATACCGGTGAAGGTGTGCTTTTTGTTTGCTTGCATGCAAATTTTACTGACAATTTTCTCAAATGCGAGTGCTGATAACATTAACATGTACTGGTGCAGTATGTAGTGGACACAATGAATGATAACTTTTGATGGCTTTTGTTTTACCCTAGACAACCATGGTGTGCATGTACTGTATTAGGGTGACATGGGTGGCTTGTACGTAAAGTGCTCGCCTCTCACCAAGGTGACCACGGTTTGAATCCTGGCCGCGGATCACATGTGAGTAGAGTTGTGCGTTGGTTGTCTCCTGTGCCATGAGGGTTTTTCTCCGGGCCCTCCGGTTTTCCTCCCTCCGGAAAAATCAAACACTTTCGATCTCAGGCTGTGCTCCGTGGTCATGTATGGGTCGATGTGACCGGCAGCCATAGGCGCCTTCACGTGCCAGCGGCCCGACCACGTTGTAGCCACGTCCCTCGCAATTCAGCATACCAGCTGCGAGTAAGGATGATTAGCCTCCCAAATTATTATTACATGTTGTGGTGATTTTCAAGTTTAAAAGAAACCCCAAAACCCAACAATCCTGTTCTGCAGTGAAGTACATACCGGTAATTGTATTGAAACTCTCCCCCAAATCAAGAATTTTGCCCCCTCTGCAGGACGTCTAGGCTTGGCCTTCCTTGGCAGTCCATACCCTGGGGGTCCTTGAAGAGTGATTATTGTCCCTTCAGTAAAGGGTTATTGGTCCCTGCATTTTTTCGTTTTGGGGATCGTCAGCCATGCAGATAATGCACCGGGCACTGTACTTGTATAACAAATCGGCCTTTCACAATATTGCGATTTTTAACCGTATGTGACCTTCACAGTAGCATATTACGGTATGAGTAAATCCTGCTCTTTGGAAGTTTGGTCTGGGCGTGATTTGAAAAGAACTCCACTGAAGCAGAGATCCCTCCGACAGCTTCAGTCTGACTCCAGATTAATCTTAATTTTACTATCAATTCATTAAAAAAAAGTTGTACAATGTATTTTGTATTGGACTTTTTTTGGTAAAACTAATGGAGACTGTCTTCTCGCTGTAATTTTGTACAAAATTACGTCCAATGCGAAGGCAGCTAAAGTCCATGATTTCTAGTCCAAGTTAATTCACCCACACATGCTGTTTCTGTTCTACTATAACCTTTTGAGAGGAGTTTGGCTATACTTCCATATTGGGGTGGGCCAATTTTACTTGAGTTTAGAAGGAAAAAAAAGACTAAAGCTAAAGTAGATAAAAATGATTCTAGAGTTTTTATTCAGATATCCGGAAAAAAAATAATTAAAAGCCATGTCAATATTGGCAGCCATTTGGATACTCGCACAAATAAATAAGTACATATCCTACGCTAGTTCAAGTTGATTACTTAAGTCAACCTTATTTGAACAGGTTTTTCCCCTTATTTTTAGAGAAACCGGTAGGACAACTGACCAGGTACATCATAATTATTTTAAGTTTGAACAAAGAAATTGACTGGAGCAGGGTTTGAATCTGCGACCTCCGGATTACCGTTCCAGTGCTCTACCAACTGGGCTAGCCAGCCCTATGTTGGCCCTTCCCCATTTTGTCAATGTCTTTGTTCAAGGGGCGCAAGTCGGAAGCCATAAATCAGCAGACATGCCACGTGTCCAGGGATCACGCCCGAAGTTGTGATGCTACATGTAACAACATTAGCAATGTCACAAATTAGCAAACGGGGATCACTCAGAGAGGATACGGATGATACTGAATCTCGACAGTTTCCCTAAAGTTGTGGTTTACATGATGATACTTGTCGTGATTTTGAGTTGAATAAAAGTGACTTCTGTCTTGACACAGTGAAATTTGACTTGCCCTGGGAAAAGATGTTCACCTTTGAAATGACTTGAAGATAATTTAATATAAACTCTGCTACACCCCCTCCCGGAAAACAAAGAAGTTAGTTTTTGAAGAACAGTGACATAAACCTTCAGCATTTTTAACTCCTTGTTTTCTTGTATAGTTGTCACTGAACATTTCTTATCAAAAACACATATTTTACTTGGGACTCAAGCTCCGTAGTTTGACCAGGGTTGTAGGCTTACTCCACCCTGGCTGGGCATGCCAAATTTATTGGGCATCTCAAATTCTTTAAGGTCATGTACCGGTACCCTCAGGCTAAATAAGGGGATCCATTGCTGATTGATGATGAGGAGTTGGGTACCATACCAAAGGGCTCCGATTGCTGTGTCCTGGTCTGAACCCAGAAGTGATCAGCATGTGACCTTGTGTGAACTTTTGCCAATAAAGGGATTTTTGAAGTGAAACTTTTTGCTTGCTTGTGTAAAATCATTGAAGTGGGTGTTTCTAGTTACACGTAGAGTTTATTTGCAGCCTGTACATGTACATGAACATTGTATGGTGTACTAGCTCATGTATTCACTAAAATAATGTAGAGTGAAAAATCCCTTCAAACTTTTAAGTCATGTACAATGTTTTGACATGGTGTAACTGCATGATACATGTTACATGTAGTATGTACATGTACAGTAGCTCTATGGTTACATGTATGTAGCTACAGGGGTAATGAACATTGGTTGCACAGCTTTGTGTACACGTACTGGTACATGGGTATTGACATACTATGTACAATGTACATGTTCACACCACACTTGTGTATGATGCAAAGCAGGTTCGGGTGAGGACAATTAGTCGACTAGTGGTTGATTCGTGACATACAACATGTACCGGTACATATAACTTAAGCCTGCGCACTTAAAGCAACATGCGAATGCCTCTAGTCAAACAATTAATGGTCAAAACGTCATCACAAAATGTCTGGGTCCTGGCTTCCTGTTGTGCTTTATGATGCGCAGGGCTAATGGTAACCAGTGATGGAACTGTGCCCCATGCTTCGGTTCCAAATAGTCGACTAGTCCAACCATTCTTCGTTCGCGCGAAGTCAGTTAAACTATTGTTAAAGGTATAGTCCATCATTTGTAATTTGTGCATTCTGTTCATTTGAAGCAACAAAAGATTTCACAATCTAAAGAAGGATGCTAAACAACTAACCTGATGAAGTTTCAGCTCAGCTTCAGCTTTATATTTTGAGAAAATCAACATTCTACGTTCTCGATTTCAAATCAAAAGTTGCTGAATCATGTTTTGAATTGGGCCTGAATTCAGCGTCCGAGACACGTTCTCACTGAGCCGATTGCAGCTACGCGATGTCGCGCACCGATGCGACGAATTATAGCAACTGCGCGTGTGCGTCATGTCAACGCCAGCGCGCGCTTCGCTGAATTAACAAAGAACTACTAAGGCCTTTTTTCGTTGATTTCTTCATAATGACAGCATGCCAGAAAGAATAATTTCACAGGGAGTTTAGTTCCCTTACTACCGGTATCTTTCAACCAAGTATGTTTTTCCACAATAATTACGTCAGTTACTTTTTGGATAGCTACAAATAATGGACTATAGCTTTAACTACAGTTTGCACCCAAAGTTCTTCACATTTGTATACAGTTATGTGCAAACGTGTACCAATCAGTGGAGCTCATTCTGATTTCTGTACAAATTGCACATATGTACTGGTTCTATGTAACTTACCCTTCTGCTGAAAACAATACATGTGTATACAATGTATGCAAGTAATGAAAAATGTCCGGGATTGATTTTGTTGTTGAGAGTATTGAAATACCATCACAGTCAACTGATTACATGTAACCTCAATGAACCACGTCCAGTCCTTTGATGGGCATGCACTGTTGCGTATTGTTTCCTTTCATTGGATCGGGAAACCATTCAGGAAATTATTACCAGTTCCATCAGCAGTGAGCGAGCATTGTACACATCCGTGTCCACATTTGTCCCTGTAATGTAATGAAGAACAACTACACGTACAGTATCTGAACACTGAGAATTATATGGTTTCAACTCTATGGAGCTATGAAAACAGATGGTACAAAATGTTGCTTGAAAATGTCCATACATGTAGCTGTTCGGTGTCATTACACTTGCCTGCATGTGCAAGGATTTACATGTACATTGTACATGTACATGTACATGTACCTGTTGTTGTGGATTCAACCCCCACATGTGTACAGTGAACTTTTCCATTTGAGTTGAGCAAGTAAAAACAAGTCCAAACTTGTTTTAGGACAGTTAAACTTTTGGGGCACACTGAGGAATGCCTAGGCCCTCTCAAAAAGGAATGACACTTTTTTGTCACTGTTAGTTTCTAAAGCACTGTGAACAGTATAATGAGCATGAAAAACCAGCATCTAACGTTTGTCCATGGCTCTTTTGGACCAGAAATTCTGACTTATCGAATCCATGTTTCGTTGCTTCTATCTAGTTGGTGCAGCCGCCATGGAGGCAGACCCGGCCCACTGTCCATGCTGTCGGGAGGCGTACGACAAGAGTCGCAAGAGGAAACTGACCGACGCCTGCGGACATGCGCGATGCTACGCATGCATGTTCACCATTGAGTCCTGCCCTCTATGTTCTACACAGGGTTAGTATTGTAAAGGTCTTCAAGTTTATGTCCATACCCATCTTGTACTGTAGTACCAGTGCTGTTGGTCATACTGGAATATTCTTGAATCTGTGAAAATGTGTACTCTAAACCATTTACGTGGTAGAACAAACACAATGGGGTACACACAAGATTTTTGGTGACTTTTCTGATCTCCTTGCTTTGTATATAACATTTGGGTTGTTTGTTGTAGCCATATAATATTTATGTAGTACAATGTTTGTTATAACATCGCAGTACCGGTATTCTTTAACTTTTCCTCAGCTATTGAAATTTCCTCCTTTTTTTTGGGGGGGGGGGTGTAAGGTCCCAGTTGCATTAAGTAGCTCCATCCTACAATTCACAAAATACTACAAAACCAAAATTGGACTGATTTAGACCCTTACTATAAATGCATGCACCTCCCCTTAAACTTATCTGGAATTTTAAAATTGCTAGATTCTTAAAAAAGAGTCCCTAGTTGCTTTAAAGGCTTTGCCGTTCACTGACATATTTTTTATAATCACTGTTTACTCATTGTTGTCCCGATTGATTGTGAGAAAAAAATCACCCTCGTGGGACTCGAACCTATGACCTCCTGCTTACTAGTGCAGACTCAATCCTGCAAAATCCCCCAACTGCCTCCATGTAAAAATTGCATACAGCTTCAATTCTGCAAAATCCTTGGAGGGCTGACCACTGCCTCAATCCTGCAAAATCCTCAAGCAATCACTGTCAATATGTTGAGGCAGAGCCAGTGACATCCTGGAGCAGTGCTTTTCAAGTATAATATAGACGTAAATTTATGCACGGCTGAGTAAAAACAACACAAGGTCTGGCCCAATAACTTGACACAGGGCATCCTCCAAAATCAGCCACACATTTTTTGCCATATAGCCTCAATCCTGCAAAATCTTCCATTTTGCAAAGATGATTTTGTAGGATTGGTAAGGTTAGGGTTCGTAAACGAAATCGTGATTCCATATAAAATGTACTGGTACTGCATAGTAGCTAGGCCATCTATTTTAATGGCTGACTCATAAAACTAAACCATGCACAATGACTTTCCCAGGGGTTGCCACTCACTTCCCAGTATTCCTCCACTAAGTCAATTACCGGTTACTGTACTTTCCCAATTTTTTTTTTGTGTGCAACATACTTTTCTCCAAAAAAGAAAGAAAGAAAAAAGGCAGGTGTGCTAGGCCGATTCACAATCGAGGACAATTTAACCCCGAGCAGCGTGTGGACACAGCGGAGTGAATCAGCTCCTGTTTGACTCCCTGAAGGAGCCGAACATTATACCGCGCCCAGGACGACTAATCAAACAAATTAACGGTTGCAACGGCAGACACTAAGAGAGCATACGCGCAGAGAAAGAAAAAAAAAAAAAAAAAAAAATTGTGATGGAGAGATTAAATTGGAATTAAAAGGATTCAGTCTTTTGCATAGTAAAGTGGATCAAAATGTTTGCGTATAATATTGACATGTCGAATTAGAATCCTAGTCGAAACTGTCAGTTCTATAAAGCCATTTTGGGTAATTGAGATCTTTTTTCGATTCTCATCATTATCAATGAAAGGTAGGGCAGTAGTCCTTGTTACAACACTTACATGATTTGTATTTGGTTGGGTACATGTATAGATTCGTTGCACTGCAGCCATCTTTGAGGTGTGCGCTTTTGTTCAACAGGGATATGCACGAGTTCCTCTTGTGCATTCATTGTTACTAAATTAACCCTAACCCCCTTGGCCCTTTTTGCCAGGAACCATCGTCAATCCTCCAAAATTTTACAAAATTTTGCAACAACCCCTAAATCCTTCAAAGTTGTCAGACAGTCCTGCTTCTAAATGCATTCATCGTCAATCCTTCAATATCCTCCTCATCTCAAAATTTTGCACTCATGTTCAAATGAAGGATAACCAACGCCTCAATCCTTTAAAATCATCAGACAGTCCTGCCTCAAAATGCATTCATCTTCAATCCTCCAAAATCATCCTCATCTTCAAAAACCATTCATCCTCAATCCTCCAAAATGCTCATGTGCTTAAAACACCATTCATCCTCAATCCTCCAAAATCATCGTTTTTCTCAATCACCATTCACCCTCAATCCTCAAGAATCCTCCGAAACCGCAGTGAGGATTATGGAGGATTGAGGTGGGTTAGGGTTAACGTAACAACACACCGCGACGATGGCTGCTGAATGCAATCGGTATGTGAAGTCAAAGTATTGACCGATAAAAATGGAAGGTTTACACTTACAGGGATGCATGCCGGGGCTGAGTTTAGTTAATTGGAAACAAGATCACAAGTGTGCGGTTGCCAAACAGTTGAGAGTAATTACTGTCGCACAGCCCAAGTATTAACCCTAACCCCTTGAGCACTTTTACTAGAAAGTATATTGAGTCCTCCAAAATCCACCAATTTTGTCATGCAAAACAATGTTGGTGTTCTGAGTCCATCAGAATCCACCAGTGAGTCCATCAGAATCCACCAGTGTAGTACATACTTCGTACACATCAAACATGTACTATAGCCAAGGAGTTAAACTGTTGAGATCCTGAATCCATCAAAGTCCCCCAACTGCTCAATATGGAGGTACATGTACATGTATCCTGAATCCATCAAAATCCTGCAGAACCGCTAGGCTTACTGTCCTGAATCCATCAAAATCCCCAAACTTTTTCAATATGGAGCTATCCTGAATCCGTCAAAGTCCTCCTAAGCAGGGGTGTGGATTCTGATGGATTCAGGCACGTTAGGGTTACTACAGGAATGGCAGCATTTTGAAGAATTCATTTCAAGTCATAAGTTTGCTGTGCGTATTTTTCGTGAGCTGTGTCCTCAGTGTCCATCTTTGCAAACTATTCATTCATACATGCAGGCATGAGATTTCTCAGACGTTTGTCTGAAATCAGACTTTTTGAATCTGAGACAAAGACATTGTCAATATAGAAAGTAATGCATCTTTAAGACCTTCTACCCAATTTTCAGACCCTTTCAGATGACAACATCATCTCGAGATACATGTATGTAATTGTAAGAATGTATTGGCAATTATTATCTAGACATCAGAGTTCCGTGGGGAACAAAGTCTAATATTTACCCATCCTGAATTCACTTACAACGCACAGGTGCATTTATATTCAACCAAACATTTTGACACTTGTGAAGTGAATCAGATTGAAAGAACAAAATAAATCACGGCACTATTCAAAGCCCATGCACAAAGTGGGGTATGACTTGCCAGCCCGTCTTGAATTAATGAAATCATTCATCACTAGCATTAGTGCGAGATCACAATTTGTCTCTCGAATAAAGCCATTTTGGGGAGTGAAATGAGAGTGGCAAATCAGAGAGTGTGACTCACCAATATTCCACCCCAGGGCTGTGGGGAGGGGAAGGGGGAGGGAGGGGAGAAAGACGTATAGAGGTCTTCATTTTTTGCAAAGATTTGCTCTTTTTTTTTGTCTGTGTCTTCCCAGTCCCATTCTGTTTAGCGGGGCAGATAGGGGAAATATTTGGGGGAGTTGTGCCTTTGATGATTCAAGCATGAAATTTGGCACACAGTCAGAGTTGTATGTATGTCTTAAGAAAGATATTTGGCTATAGGGCCATCACGGATTCATCCTTTGAAAAAAATATAGGCAAAACAACCAGCAATTTTCAAAATATTAAAAATGGCTGCCATTGCTTGTTATTCTTACCTATATATTTTCAAAGGACAACTCTGCGATGGCCCTTTAGCAAAATATCTTTCTCATGACATACACTGACTGTGTGCCAAATTCCATGCATGTATCATCAAAGGCACAATCCCATCACCTACCGGGTACCGGTATCTGCCATTCTACATGGTTAGTCTGAGCATGGGTCTGATGCCACTGTATCAATCAGGTACATGTATGATATTTGTCAAGATTTTTCCTGATTTCATTATTTTCAGGCTATTAAAAGAATTCCTTTTGAAATTTGGAATCTCTGAGGTTTTACCTATGAAAGTACTTACAGAACAAAAGAAATGGGTATTGTAAGGGGTGCCGTTAGGCAAATTCAAACATACCACAGATCCTACTTGCTCTTGGGGCTCTCAGCAATCCTCAGACCCTCTGCCGATTATTTTTGCCCAATCTCACCCCTGATAAATCACACCACAATGTTGTATGATATGTGCTTTAAATTTCTCCCAGTTGTATTTTCCCCTGTTTTTTTTCTCTTTTTTTCTTTGGCTTCAGGCCTTTCTCACAATATGGCCCACGGGTTTTGTCAAGGATTTGAGAATTCTATTTTTGTAAAAGCCTTTAAAATGGGTTTGGATTATGTGTGATTTCCTGTGGTATTCTGAAGGTCAAATGGCAAACGTTTCCTTTTAACTTTTGACCCACTGGAGTAACTTCAGATGAAACTTGTCAAGATGCATCAATTTCTTAAATCTTAATGATCAATAAAAATACATACCGGTAGTCTGTATTGATATAAAGGTAAAGTGCATAGCGTTTGCAATTATTGTTCATTGTGAAATGGCCCATGGTGTTTTATGGGGAACTTAATATCTGAACACATAAATTTACTTACATAATATTGGTACTGAGAACAAAGAGCAACAGTTATCATGTTAAGACCATTATCATGTTGCGGACATTGTATTTTTTCCATTCAAATCAACGTAACCAAAGCGAGGCTGGAAGGAAAAATAAGGAACCAGACTATTTTCCCTTCCAGCCTCGCTTTGGTTACATTGATGATGGGAAAAAATCAAATGGCTGCAACATGATAATGGTATATGAACGACTGGGTGAACATACATATGTACCATAGAGCTATATCAAACTACCAGAGCGCTAACTCCTCATTCTTGCGTGCGGACGCTTTGAAGCCGCTCTGGGCGCAGACATTTTGAATTTATGTGCGTGTTTGTAGAACACAATCAAAATAGATGGATTGAATTTTAAAAGTGTACTCTAAATGCAACGCGCAAGTAGAAGATACGCAAACAACTTATGCGCATCATGACGGTTCAAAAAACGTCGCGGTGAAAAAGCATCTGCAGCGGAGGGACGCGCACACATTGCGATGTTTGCGTACAGCAAAATGAAACGCTCATTTGCTGATCGTGCATTTCGGTTTTGTGCGTATCAGCTTCGATGACGCACCGATATGGAATACAAACGCAGATATGCAAATAGCTGTATAAAAGCCATACAAAATTTCGAGTTGTCCGTAGGTTTTTACACAAACATGGATGCGCCCATCAGGCATTACTTTGTACATTGAGTTAGCGCTCTAGTAATTTAATATAGCTCTATGATATGTACAGAACTTTAATTAATGTAGATGTCTGAAAAACATGAATTCCAGTAGTGTTAAAACACTGTTCTCATGTGAGGACTACCGGTACCAACAAATTATATCTTCTAAATTTTGTTGAAATGACTGACATTGTTGGAATGTCTGAACTATATGTAAAACAAAAAGGGGGAAAAAAAAGACTTGTCTATTTGGTTCAGTTTCAAGTGCATCTGAACTCTTCATTCATTCCGACAGTGTTGGGTGTCGGCAGTAATTTGTCGGGTAATTCATCGAGTAATTCAATGAGGATACATATTGGGTCAAGACGGCTGAGTCATTCCGCCATTGATCGCCAGAAACATAACCCGGTCCATTATAACAGACAAGTGCTCACCTCGCCAAAAAGAAAGTATCATTTGTCAAAATAAAAAGGCCCTACACAATGAGCGATGACAAAATGCATTAATAATCATTCTTTTTTCGGTAGGTGAATTATGCCCATTGCTTTTTGAGCAGCAGTCGTTGCAAATCGGGCCCTTGATCTAGTTGGACAGTTGAGTCATAATTTACACAGTACGGTACGTGATTGCTGGAGTTAGATTTGGATGGTTAGATTTGATTGTGCGGGGAACACATCTCAATTTTAACCCTAACTGCCCTGAATCCTTTAAAATCCTCTTTGCCAAAGTGGAGGAATTTGGAGGATTGAGGTTACATGGCAAAAGTGCATTACTGATTTCGTAGGATGCACTTTGTCAAGGTCTTGGGCCGGACCTTGTGTTGTTTTTGCTCAGCCATGCATACATATAGGCCTGTATTATGCTTGGAATCCTCCGCACTGCTCCAGGATGCCACTGGCCAAGCCTCAACATATTGACAGTCACTGCCGCAGGATTTTGCAGGATTCAGGCAGTGGTCACACCACCACGGACCATATTCAAGAAATAATGGGGGAATTTGCAGGATTGAGGCTATATTTTTCCATGAGGCCAATTGAAGGATTTTGCCGGATTGAGGCTACATCCTAGCAAAAAGGCCTAGGGAGTTGGGGTTAAAGTTGCTCTACCCGTGCTCTTCAACATTTTTCAATTTTTTCCTCTTCTAATAGCTATCCCTAACCCTGTTCAATCCAACAGAATCTAATATTTTTCATACCTGCTGGGTCCTGTTGGATTGAGCAGTAAATATTCCTGTTGAAATTTGTTTGATTCAGCAGGCAACTGAAAACAATCTGTTAGGCACTGGTAAATGATGCCAAGTTGGTCTCTGTTGGATCCAGCAGCAAAGAGAAAAACAAGGCACAGTTAGATTCTATTGGATTGAGCATGCCAGTCATTTAATATTTTCAGGTATGCAACAGCTTGGAAAGTTGGATACTGTGGGACTGAGTTGTATTGAGCAGAAAACTCACATTAGTCACCATCGGACTCTATTGGATTTGGCAGGGTAGTCCTGGGGAACTACTAGGGGGTTAGAGTTAGCAAATTTTCAGTTTTCTCCTGACAAATTTTGAATTTGTATGTTAAATTAATTAATTAAACAGAAAAAAGCCCTATTTTTTTCTATTATGTTGGACATTTTCAATCCTCTGAAACTACACTTATATTTTGGGTTGGTTTTGCGCCCATACGGTAGCACACAAAAGAGATGCCTGAATTATTGTTGGTTTTGCAAGCAATTCAAAATTTGTAAAAAAAATTTTTCCATAACTAAAACCTGGGCGGATGTTTTTCATTTCAATGTCTCTTTCAAAAGTGAATAACAATTGTATTGCTAAAAAAAAAATCAAAACATTTTTTTTGGGTGTGTATCTTATTGCATGGGCAGAACAACTTTTAAGGGATTTTTGGTTTCTTCATATTGGATTCCAGAGTGCGAGTTGCATCATTTGTGGAAAGTCATAAAAACAATACTTTGCTTTTCAGCATGGTTTGATTGAAAGCAGATTGTTAAAAAAACACATAAATTACTGCATTGATTACAGGAACTGTACAATTCATAATATTTTCAGAAACATCGCTAAACATATATACTGCATGTGAAACCATCATACAGACAGTACATGTACATTGCAACTACATGTAGAATGAAACCATTTAAAGCAGGTTCTATTTTTAATCAACTGTTGTTCGTACAATGTATATCAGTTTCCATTTCAACATGGGCAGGAAGATGTGTTTTTCCTTTTTTAACCGAAAATGGAAACAAAATACCGGTATCAAAGTTGTCCTTAGTTTCACTCTAGTTATAGAATGCATGTGGATTCATTTACAGTGTACATTGTATGTAGAACAAGTTTTAGAGTGTTTAAGTAAATGACAAACATTGTTAACCCTAACAATCCCCATCCAGTCAAACTCCAACACCAGGGTTTGTTGGAATCTGTTAGAGTGAGTACTGTACTATGATTATTGCTTTACATGGGGTTAGGCATATCACTAATAATCAGAGTCCAACAGTTTTTGTGTGCAGTTTACCATATGGTGTTGAATTCTGCAAGAGTGAGGAAGGTAGTTAAAGTAGTTACAACACTTGTAATATACCGGTAATGGTACACACACACACATTGTAATTTACTTGCCATTTTTGCTGTGTTTTATGTCATCTTTATTTTCTCAGAAAAAGGTGGATAGAAACATTTTGAAAGCCTGAAACCTTTTTGTCTGTCTGTTCTGTTCTGTTTATTCCGCCTGAACCTTAATCCCCAACAATCCCCATCCAGTCAAATCCTACACCAGGGTTTGTTGGAATCTGTTGGAGTGAGTACTGCACTGGTGAACTGATTATGCTTTACATGGGGTTAGGCATACCACCATAATCAGAGTCCAACAGTTTGGGTGTAGAGTTTACCATTATGGTGTTGGATTTTGCAGGAGTGAGAAAGGTTCCTAGTAAATCACTCAACGGGGTTAGGGTTGATAAGGCCCCCCAAAAATAGTTCTGCTTCCGGTTTCCCTACCTACCCTATTCTGACAGCCCCTACTCTAACTTTTTTATTGGAAAATGAGAAAAAAACACCCAAAACCATCAATTTCTACCTTTTACCCATGACTACACACAGACCCCTCCATATGATCGTACACAAAACAAATTGGCAAAAAAAAAGTCCCTACCTACTGTACCTACCCTATTTTCAAATGCCATGTGATTATTTCCTTAGAATTGACGTTGTTCTATTGTTTTTGCATCAGTTTTACATTGTGATGGTCTTTGTGCTTTTACTTACATGTATTAATTTAACAGTTTTTCCCAGCATGAAATTTATTGTGCCTGTGTAAAATCGCAGTTTTGACATTTTTAAATTGTGAAGCATGTTGCATAGTGTGTTTATGTCATGGTGTACTTTTTGTTTTGTTTTTCCTGTTTTGCTGCTCGGTGTTTTGCTGCTCGGTGTTTGTGTGCGTGTGTGTAGAGTCCAACCTCCAGAATGGCGAGACGGACCCAGACAGGGGGCCACGCCGCAACAAACCCCCCACCCCGCCCCCAAAGCCTAAAAATAGAACGCCGCGGAATTCCTTGCATGCTGCCTCTCCTACCGCACCAACCGCCCCAACAGGTAATGTATAGTTACATAATGAAAGTGTGTGTTGCATGTTCCTAATTGCTTGTTTTGTAAATAGTAATCAGCCTTTCCATATTCACGTTTTCAGTCTGGTTTGTGTCCGTTACGTAGTAATTACGCAAGGCCTACAGTTTTCTAAACTACAGAGCGAGTCAAAAAGTGGAACCCAAACCCCCAAAACTATTTTTCATATTTAAAAAAATATGTAGCACCAAAAATAATAATGACTGGAAAGCCAATTTCATCAGCTGTATGCACTTTTAGATGAAAAATTACCGTAATTGCTTAATCCGTTCAAGGAATATCACCATTTAAACACAATGACCCTAAAACCTGTCTCGTCCAAAAATGCGATTTCAAAGAATCGTTGTCACAATTGTCTTTTATAAATCACATTGTTTGCCTAACCAGGGTTGTTAATAAAGATAATGCGTACTACAGTTGTTGAAACAAGTATTCTGTGTTGTTTTCTTTGTTGTTCCTAACAGTCAAAACACACAATGAAGTGTTTGTTTTTTTGACAAGACAGGTTTTAGGGTCATTTTGTTTAAATGGTGATATTCTTTGAACGGATTGAGCAATTTCAGTAATTTTTCATGGAAAAGTAGCTTATGAAATTGGCTTTCCAGTCATTATTATTTTTGGTGCTACATATTTTTTAAAATATGAAATATATTTTGGGGGGTTTTGGTTACACTTTCTTTGACTCACCCTGTACGTTACAGCGATGGAACGGATACAAAACTGAGTGGTGATGCACATGGAAAGGTGGCTGTAGATGTTTGAAATATTTTTCATCTTAAAATAAAAAGTCCTTCCGCATGTTTTTGTATACACTAAAAGAGAATTATACAAATTAAAAAAAAAAAAAAATACTTTGTCGAAACTGCCTCCTACTATAGAGTCTGATGGCAGTTAAATGAGCTTGATAATTACCAGTTTTAATAAAAGGCTCTCTGTTGTTGTTCTTTGGATTCCATTTGATTCGGCAGGCTCTTAAAAATTATTCCATTTTCTCAAATCCATTGGGATCATAAGATTCTCATGTTAGAATTGTATTCCCTAGTGTCTCTTTTTATTTTTCTTAAGAATGTCCATTGTCAAATTTATACATCGGAAGCAAAAAATTAATAAATATATGGGCTGTGTGCACAAGTAAGATTACTGCCAAGGCTATCCATAACTAACCTCATGTCAATATTTTTACACGAAAACCCAATTAAGATCCCCCGGAACAGGCATGCGACAATAGCGGTTTTATTGCGGCTCTGCTATTTGTGTATAATGTTTTTTCCTCTACACTCGGGCATTATAGTTTCCCGTTCAATATTTCCTGTCAAAACACAATCACGCTGGCGGATTTGTTTATTTTACAATACTGCCCCCGTGTCAAATTATGTAGAGGGAAGGGCATGCCGCAGGCTTTATTTATCTATAGGCTGCCCCTGTCACATGACCTCAAAGGAACAGCGTCGTCTCTTAATCACGCTGGGGGCTTTGAAAAAGAATTTCACTTGAATCGTAGAATTTACCTGTTTTGTGTTCTGGGGATCTCTCGCACATGATGAAGGAAAAGTACGGTCTATAATTCTTTTTCAATAATATGTCACAGTGCAGTATGAACGTACGTCATAACTCAATCCATAGGTACACAAAAGAGTGTTCGGTGATGCGGTTGTTCATTATATCAATTTTTTCACTTTGCGCGGTATAATTGTACATGTACATGTACATGGGTAAATAAAAGATGGGAGACAAAGTGGATATATTAACAATAGCTGAATGATTTGTGTACGTGTACATTGTGGGCGCTACTGTATCGCACATGTTTTAACCCTTAAAATGCCAAACCAAACAAAACCCAACAATCACCTTTTTTTCTGTTGGATCTTACTAACACTCCTGCTATCTGAACAGTCACAGGCAGTCAAAAAATCAATCCCCTTCCCCTTCCATGCCTTTTACACAGGCTAGAATACATGTATTTTAAACAAGCACTGTGACTAGTCAAATTCTGTCAACAGACAAAAGCAGACAAGTGGTAGGCACAGCTAGCTTATCAATCACCTGCAGTCAAAGCATAGCTGTATCAAGTTACATAAAACAGTCACAGCCAGTCAATCCTGCTTTATGTAGGCTGGGAGCTCTTAACTGTTGAAAACAGTGATTTTGACTGAAGGACAACTTGGCACAGAATGTACATGTATGTTTGCATAGGAGGGTTAATCTTAGAAGTTGAAAGACTGTTAGTTTTGGCTGTTGTATTTTGTGGGATTTTTTTTCAGCATGCTTCACACTTCACAACTTTCGGCTGTTGTCACAGACTGACGATGTAGAAAGGTTTCACAAAGGGGAAACTACCTGAAGTTTTGATATTTGTCGTTAAAAAAAGTCATTCATGCAGTAACATTTCAGTCGTTGTGTTGGCTACCGGTACATTTTTCGCCAGCTAGATTTTAACTTGTTGGAAACACCGAGAAGACTTACATTGTACAATATACATACATGTATGTATGTGGTCTGAAAAACATCATAGCGTTGCTGCCAGTTACCTCTGTATGGCACCTGTGAATTTCCACTTGTGGTTGGTTTGGTTGTTTACGGAGAGATATGAGTTTTGGAGGAGTAGCTTGACAGAAGCTGATCCCATGAACCGCGTGAAGTGTAGACCCGGACGATTTGTTATTGCTCCAGTGCAAGGGGGCAGAGTTGGCCCAACTGCTGGCAAAGGGTGCAGCGGTTTAAATCTCTTGCCTCTTACAGGTGTTTGTGCTTGGTTCAACTTACGGACATGTAAATGTAGGCCCAACTTCTGGGAGACTTTCAATGTTTTTAGCATTGGTTTGGACATGGAGGCTACACATTCCCCCATCTGGCTCCACTTTCTAAATCTTTCCATCATTTGACCAATGCCCTAACTCCCCCTCTTCCATGCATGGTTAAAATTTGTTTGTCTTGGCAGTTTAACCATACATGTCCACGTAAATCTAGCGAAAACGTCCCCACCTCACTACCCCCTTGGACCAATTTCCTTATTTCTATTCCATATTTTCCAGATTTTCTTGTAATAACTGTAACTTGAGATATTTAAATCCTTTTTGTTCCCGTTTTTTGCTTTTTCTGATTTCTTTATTTGTATGGCGTCCCAGATCTCTATTCCAACTTGCATGCCTGATTTCTCCGAGTGCAAAATGCAATGTTTGCTTTCCTTTTATTTCACCAATCACCTTTGTCTCCCATCCCTGGCTGCAGCCCCCGAAGTGAACGGCAACACACTGCCCAATTTCCCAGATATCGAGCCCCCACCCGCCCTCCCTAAGCCCGCCCCAGCACCGCAAGGGGCGACGGAAAGACCCCTCGAAAAGCCCGCGGATGTAACCAAAGCCGTCAATGTTGCACCGGAAAGCCAGTCAGAACAGCAGCTGAAAGGTACAACGGTTGACTAATACCAGTGTGCGGTTTTAGTACTAACATTAGAAATAGATTTGGAGCATGGTTGTGTGTACTTTCAGCTGGCGGTGAAAGGTGCCAACAATTGCTAAGCCCATGAAATCAGCATTAGGCAGATTTGCTGCAGTGATCTCTCGTGTGATGGAATAATCAGAGTTTTCTCACAATGGGCTGCATGCACAAGTACCCCCTCAACGGTATGAAAGGGAGAGTTGGGAGAGACCACTGAGACATGTGTGGACGCAATACAGTCGGTGCCTGACGCTCACGCGAAGATGCCATGGCTTTGTGCACATTCAGAATATATGTGAAATCAGTTGTGCGTACTTCGCGCTGTACGCGCATGAACCAGTTTTGGAGGCGGTGGGGTCCCATCTTCTGCGCTCTCAAAAGTGGTAAAAAACACCCTCTCTTGTTTGCGCATGGAGCCCATAAGATCTCAGGATGCTATGGTGGTCCTCAAGGGACATTACAGTTTTCCAATTTTTTTCACTTGAAAATTTTTTTTTTTCTTCAAAGCAAAAAATAATAATATAATAATAAATAACATAAAAATTGAAAATAACGAAAATGTTAAAATCACACTGCACAACATTTGGAAAAATACATGACAGCGCAAATAAAAGCTCACAACAATATTAAAGATGCATGTTCTATTCTCGAGACTTTTCATCTCGAAGAATAGGTTCCTTTTCTAAATTGCTATTTTTTTCTAGCAATATTAAAGTTATTCACTTTTGAATGAGACATCTGAACAAACATCGGCCCATGTTTCGTTATTGAATTATTACTTTACAAGTTCGAATTATTAGGTGCCAGACAATAACGACTTTCTTGCAGGGTAGGCTGGTTTCTGCCCCACAATCAGTATCAATAGTGTACAGACCGGGAGCCAGTCTGCTCGCAAAGTGTGTGCCCAAAAACCAAAAACCTTTTTTTTTCAGAGGGTTGTTGAAGAAACAGGTAATGCGACTTTTGTAGAATAAATGAAATTATGGTGACAATGGACTATTTGTGACACTGTTTCAGCAGTTATTGCTGTTGGTGCAATTGTGGAAATTGCTGCTGCAGCCATTTGACGATTAAAAAACGTGCAACCAAAACTGTACAGGGTGACCCCAAAAAAATGCAACTCTGAAACATTTGCATTTTTTTTGAAAACATGATCTGTGAATCTTTATGTTTTTAGATATATCAGAATAAAGCTGAGAGTTTTTTTCTTTCCAACACTGAACAAATCACAAAAACAGCACATTGGGTTGCTGAGAACATGCCAATTACATGTACATGTATGTAAAAGAAGTAATTTTTCATTCTCTGCAATGGTGCTTCAAACAGTAAAACATGTTACTAGTGTAAGCCCACTACGCAATTGTCTTTCATTTGTGCAATTTCTTCAATATTTTTCAATATTTTGACATATTTTATGATGCTGAAAAGGTTTAAAATTGGACCAAAAAGTATAAGATGCCTGTTCAGGTGCAAAATAAAAGGTATTTCCATCAAATTCATTTGTACTCTTGTCATATTATGTGCCGTGTTGT